TGCTCTCAAAATTCATGCTAGATTTAAAGAAGCATAAGAAATGTGGCGGAGTTGATTCTAAAATGGAGTTAGATAAATATTTGGGTGAAGATGTTGAGGAAGACTATAAAAAGTTTAACATTCTGGGGTGGTGGAAGTTGAACTCACTTAGATTTCCCACTCTTACTGAGATGGCACGTGATGTGCTAGCCATTCCGATTTCTAGTGTTGCCTCAGAATCAGCCTTTAGCACCGGCGGACGCATACTTGATCCATTTAGGAGTTCATTGACTCCTAGATTGGTTCAAGCTCTTGTGTGTNCGATTAAAATTGAAGAAGATTTAGATAATCTTGAACAACTTGAAGCTGGTAAGCCTATCTTATTACTTGTGTTTAATGTATACTTTATTTGTATGTTTATTTAGATTACTTCTAAACTAATTTCTTGTGTTACTATCTTATTATACAGAATTTATGAATACGGGAAGAGAGCCTTGCATTGTCGACATATAGTGATTTTCCATTTGTTGTACAAGCTCAGGTATTTCATTATACACTTGCTCCTTGTTTTGTTGTATGTTTCTGGAATCTGGAATTCTAGATAGCTTGAAGCTTTGAGCTGTCTTTTTCTTTCTCTGAAAATGCTCTTTGAATTGTTTGAAATTGCAGATTTTTAACTTGTCTCACAGTCCTACTGAGAATCTGAAATTGAGAGCTACATTTGGCCTGGTTGCTGGTTTGTGTTGACTGTTGCGGCTTTCCAAAAGTTGGAACTTGGAACTCTTTTGTTTTGTGTAATATGTTAAAGAACTGTTGGTACTTTAGAGGTTTGGTTTGTTTTATTTTGCTATGACAGTATGGTTTGAAAGACAATTGATTGTGTTTTGTTTGGGGTCTTCAGTTTGGTTTGGTTTGAACTTTGAAAGACAATTGTTGCATTATGTAAATTTCAGATTGTGGTTTTGTTTGGAGATGAATGATGTTTACTGTCCAGTAACAGTTGTGTGGAGAACTGGAGATGAATGGATATGAATTATGTTTTGTTTATTATTGTTAAATGTTAAGTTCGAACATTGTTACCTAGTTGTGTAAATTGAACTCAGTTGCATTATTAATTTTTATGAGTACTCAGTTCAGTCAGTTGTGTAAATTGAACATTGTTAACAATGTTAAGTTCGAACAAGTATTTGGAAAGTGATTGCTCAATTTGTATTTGGAAAGTAATTCCGAGCATTTGTTTATGTACTTCGAACAAGTACTCCAATGAGTGACAATCCGATCTGACAATCCGAAAAATTATCCGATCTAAAGTTTAAAATCCGATCCGATCCAATGTTAATTCGGATCGGATTTGGATTGCCCTTTTCAGAATCCGAAATCCGAAATCCGAATCCGAAATATGCTAAATCCGATCCGATCCGATCCGTGCACAGCCCTACTTGCACATATATGGTATTAAAAATAATTGTATGTTGGTTGCTATTATTAAAAAGTTGACCCAAATTAAAAGTTATCTGCTAAGGTATAAAGTCAAATGAGTCTATAAGACACCTCCTAAAGTATAAGGTCTTATGTGTAGATATTTGGATGTAACTTCTAATTTAGTGATGAGCTAAATTAGAATTAAATAAATATGTGCAATTATAAATGGGTTATGGTCCCCAAATCTGACGTAGGGTTCTTTTCTAATATCCATCGTTGGAAAAGTACGAGCCGTCATCTGTGCAATTCCTACGTCTTGATTTGGAAGACCACTAACCGCAAAGACGATAAATTATGGATTCAAGTACGCTTCTGCATCTAGTTTTTTTATTTTCGACGATTTGACATAATAGGTCTTGGGTAAAAAATGAAGGATTTCATCTTTAAAAGTAATTTAGTTCTAACAATTGATATCAGAGCCTTAATCATGTTAAATCATTGGGATTTTTATGACATAGTTGATTTAAAAGGTACGCCGCTAAGCGGCATCACATATTCATGAAAAGGTTAGTTATGGCTTATAACATGGCATATTTAGATCAATCTATTCGATTTGTTTTTTTTTAGGTTCAAATATATATATA